ATATTCTGCATTAGTTTGAGAAAAACATGCACTCTTCTGGTTTTGGATGAACTAGTTTATGGACATCCACTAAATCCAGGTAGTTAAAGTGCTGTTGAATTCAACTGTGTCCTTAATGATTTTCTGCCTGCTACACCCACTCATTTTTTAAAGAGAGGTCTTGACAAATCCAAATATAATAGTGGTGGCCAGTAATGTGGCATAGCAGGTAGAGCCACCACCTGCAGCACTGGCATCCCCTATGGGCACTGGTTCAAGTCCCAGCTGCTCCACTTCCAATCTAGCTCTCTGCTATGGCCTGGGAAAGCAGTAGAAGATGGCCCATGTCACTGGGCCTCTGTACCCACATGGGAGACCCAGAAGAAGCTCCTGGCTCCTGGCTTTGGATTGGCGCAGTTCCGGCCATTGTGGCCAATTGGAGAGTGAGCCAGTGGATGGAGGAAGACCCCTCCCTCTCTCCCTCTCTCTCTCTCTCTCTGCCTCTCCTTCTCTCTGTGTAACTCTTTCAAATAAATAAATAAATCTTTAAAAAAACAAATATAATAGTGGAATCATCAATTTCTCCTTGAATGTCCACCAGTTTTTGCTGTACCCTCACCTGCCTCCCTCTTGAAAGCCTCAGAGGATTTTTCTCCAATATTCACTGTGAGAACCTAGCTGAGGTCAGGGGTATTACTTAAGAATAACCTGGTTTATAACTACAATTGCTGATGAGTGTGTCAAAACTGTGTATCAATTTGGGGAGCACATGCATCCTTTCTTTAAAAATTTTTTAATAGATTCATTTATTATTTTTATTTGAAAGGCAGAGAGAAAGGAGAGAGAGAGAGAATCTTCCATCCACTGTTCACTCTCCAAAAGACTGCAAAATCCAGGGTTGGGCCGGTCTAAAGTCAAGAAACTGAGTCAATCCAGGTCTTCCACATAGGCAGCATGAACCCAGGTACTTGAACCATCAACTAATGCATCCAGGGTGTGCAAAAGCAGGAAGCCGGAATTGGAAGAGAAGCCAGGACCAGAACCGAATCAATCACGCCAGTATAGGATGCAGGCATCCCAACAATTTAACTGCTGTGCCAAACACCCATCTCCAGAATTCATATCTTTACTACATTGAATCCTCTGGTTATAAACATGGTTTTCCAATTATTTACATCTTTAATTTCTATCAGGGTATTTTGAAGTTTGTTTACAGCATAAAAGTCCTACATGGGAGTCAGCTCTGTGGCACAGCTGGTGAAAGCCCTGCAGCGCCAGCATTTAATAGAGGCCCTGGTTTGAGTCCTGGCTATTCCATTTCAAAAACAGCTCCCTGCTAATGTGCCTGGGAAAGCAGCAGAGGATGGCCCAAATCCTTGGGCCCCTGCACCCATGTTGTAGACCCGGAAGAAGCTCTTGGTTCCTGGCTTTGGATGGGATCAGCTCTGGCCATAGCAGCCATTTGGGGAGTGAATCAGTGGATTGAAGACCTCTCTCTCTCTCTCTCTCTGTAATTCTTTCAAATAAAAAAAATAAATCTTTTAAGAAAAGTCCCATACATATTTTGCTAGATTTATAAAATCTACTACTTTTGTATTATTAGAATGATTATAAATAGTATTTTATTTTAATTCCAGTTTTTATGAGTTTGATGGTAGTATATAGAAATACTAACAAATTTTTCTATGCTCATTTTTTTCTATCTTGCAACTTTACTGAAATCTTTTATTCCTGTTTTATGATGGATCTCATGGCTTTATATGTGTTGACTGCTACCTTTAAACAAGGAAAAGTATTTATCTTTCTTTCCAATCCCAATGTCTTTTACTTCATTTTCTTCCCTTATAGCACTATCTAGAACTTCCAATATCATGTTGAATATCAGGACTAAAAATGTGTCTTGTTTCCCATCTTGGGAATAAATCATTCAGTACTGACCATTGGGTATGATATTAGCTCTAAGTTTTATGTAGATATCATTTACCAAGTTGAGGAAAGTTTCCCTTTCTTCTGTTTTTAGAGAAGTTTTGTTCATGAATTGTCTTTGAATATTCAGATGCTAATTATGTATCAATTGCTATAATCATGTGACTTTCTTCTTTATGCTATTAACATGGTTGGATTACATTGATTTTCAAATATTTAATCCACCTTGCATTGCAGGAATCAACTCCATTTGATTATGGGATATAATACTTTTTTAGGTATTGCTAAGTTCTACTTTCCAATATTTTGTTGAAGATTTTTGTTTTTTCATAATGAACTCTGATGCTTAAATCCCACATTGTTTATCTATGTTAATGAAAGAGTATATAACTCCAATTAAAGAACAGAAAGTCACTTACTTCATTTTGAATACTAGATCAATGCACAGCTATGGAATTACCGTCCCCACGGGAAGACACCTTTTTGAATCTTGTACCTCGTACCATTGTGTGCACTGAAAATGGTACTAGGGAGCAGTCTCAGATTACACCAGTAGGTGTCACTCTAAATATGATGTATTTAAAATTACTTAAATTTCAATTCATTTATTCAACAAATATTGAGTGCCCATTACATGCCAGACGTGATTCTAGAAGCTGAGTTTACAGTGGTGAATGAGAAAGACCCAGGCTTTGTCTCATGTAGCCTACAGTCTAGATACTAGTGAACAAATCTGCTTTGTTTACTTTCTAAACAAAAGTTTGTAAAATCCCATTCCTAACACAGTTCAATTCAGATCTGTACTTTTCTAAGTTAATAGATAGCATGCAAAATAATTCATCAAAACAGATACGATAATAAGAATCCAAGAAAATGTGTTCTGCAGGAAGTAGATTAACATTCTGTATATTTTCTCACATTTAGAATTTATGCAACATTTCTCTTCCAAACTTCAAGTTCCTAAAACCAAAATTTTAGATATTCCTCCTTACAATGGAGAGGAACCTATCTTTAAAAAAATTCAATTTTTAAAAAAATCTACTGACCCATGGATTTTTTTTTAAAGATTTATTTATTTATTTATTTGAAAGTCAGAGTTACAGAGAGAGAGAGAGAGAGAGAGAGAGGTCTTCCATCTGCTGGTTTACTCCCCAACTGGCCACAACAGCCAGAGCTGCGCTGATCCAAAGCCAGGAGCCAGGAGCTTCCTCCAGGTCTCCCACACAGGTGCAGGGGCCCAAGGAGTTGGGCCATCCTCTCTACTGCTTTCCCAGGCCACAGCAGAGAGGTAGATTGGAACAGGAGCAGCTGCGACTCAAACCGGCGCCCATATGCGATGATGGCATTGCAGGTGGTGGCTTTACCCACTACACCACACCACCGGCCCCTAATCCATGTTTTTAAAAGTAGACATTATATTACAAATTTTAAAAACTTTTAAAGCTTGCTAATTCCCAAAATACGTATTTCCTTATCTCTTTAATTTAAATAGTTAATTTTAAATTGTTAAATGGAGGCCAACGAATACACAACACACTTCCCAGGTTAACAGAGTAAAGACTAATCAATTATGCCTCTACTGTCAAAAGTTCTTGTTTGGACAAACCTGTTGAGACTCATAGCTTCACCCAAGATTTCTTGTTGAAAGTATTAAATCTAAGACAAGGGGCAGAAACTGTATATCAAGAAGGTACACTAAAAAAAGCTTTCTTAAAAAAAAGAAAGTACACGTATCTACACAGAAATCAAGAATCTAGTACTACTCAATTATCATTTTGTTTCCATCTACTTGTAAATACAATGTTCTCCAAACTGGAAAAGTTAGAGAAAACATAGCTAAGAGGCTATCTCAGAATTATGATAGAAGAAAGGGGGCTAGAAGAGGAGAAGAACACATAATCACATGTATAGTTTAGAACAGAAAATATACTCAATGAACATTAGGTTATAAATGAATACTAAGGTACTTCAAAAAATGGCTGATGGTGGGAAAGATATAAATTAACTTATACCTTAATATCAAATAAACCATTTTCTTCTATTTTGAATAGTTACATAGTAATTGATCAAATACATTTAAAATATAGGTTGGGGTAGGAATCTGTCTACCAGTTGAGACACCAACTGGGATACTCATGCCCCATACTGGGAAGCCCAGACTTCAACATGAAGCCCTGCTCCTGACTATAGGTTTCCGCTGATATAGACCCTGGGAGGCAGAGGTATGGCTCAAGTAATTTGGCTCCTGCCTCCCATGTGGGACTCCCAGCCTTTGGCTGTTAGAAATCTGGGGAGCAAACCAGCAGACAGAATCAATCAATCAACATCTCTTTCTCTCCCACCCCCATCTGTCTCACAAATAAACAAAAACAAGGTTTACTGTCTAAGATTTTTAAATTAATTTGTAAACTATTAAACAGGGTCAGTACTGTTACTTACCACATCTGAGATGTCATCAAATTTGCATGCAATAATGGCAGATATTGCTGTTAGCTCAGTATTTTTATTGCAAACATAAATTTTTTGAGAGGTGGGATTGTTTTAGTGGAAAAAGCCAAGCTATTGGGTTTTGGAGTCACAAAGATTAAGGTCTGAATCTCCAAATTAGTTATGTGACTTCTGGGCAAGTTACTTAAGTTAGCTCTAAACATCAATTTCCCATAAAGATAAAAACAACAGGATTAGGAGAATCTGACACGCAGTAGGTACTCAACAAAGAACAGTTATTAAGAAACGCCGCCTTTCTCTTTACTATTAGACTATATCAATGCATGTTGAACAATTACCAACTCACAACATTAACCCAAAGTGCATCTTCACCTTACTACAACACTTTTATAAAACCAAACCCCTTACTCGACAGAATGCCAACAAATATGTACCCACTCCTTTAGCTCAAATATATTTTGCATGACCTTACATGAATTGCTTAGATAAAAGCTTTTTCTAGTCTGCTTTTGTTATTTTAAAGTGCAGATGCATTTGAGTCATTTTCTCCTTTTGTTTCATATCCTTAAGATCCAAAGCTTCAAAGACAAAATGTCAGCATGCAGTCGATTTATGACTAAACTCTTGAAGAGACACTGAAGAATTACCTTGTCAATCACCCCAAGGACTCTGAAGGCCTTCAGCTCCTCGGCAGGGCTCCTTAGGTTCCAAGGGGGCCTTGAACTTAGTAATCCTGGAGGCTAATGGAAGATATCAAAGATTACACATCAATCAGGGAGGTACTTGAAGGAAGACTGCCTGCTGAAGCAAATGCCAGGCCAAAGGAAACTAAATTTATCATAAATCAGAGAATGGAAAGATAAAAGGAAGAAGTTTGTTTGTAATGAAAAATAAAAAAAAAATCAAAAAGAAAAAGTAAGGAAAAAGTTGCAAGTAAATAACTCATAACATTGAAAACAAAATTTTAAAAAGAAAAATTAATGAGCTGATATAGTTTCTAGAGCAATATTTTAATTCAGGACTACACAGCTAGCATGAAACTTTTTCAACAAACAGGTAACTTGAGACAACAATCAATCACAGCCTTATATTTACCCGATATGGTACAAGAGTAGTTTAGAAGGGGATAACTAAAAACCAATGTATTAATGAATAGAAGTGGGGCAGGGAGAGGGGGAGAGTAACAGGCCATTCTCTGTCATCATGAAACTATGTTCTTTTAATGTTATCTTATACATATCTGCTATATGTTTTAAAAGGAAATCAGCAGATTCAAGTTCAAGCAGCAAAATTACTGGTAATGATAAAAAAAAAAAACCTAAGAAACTCCATCATATAAACAATCATTACCAGAATTGAGGTTAAGAGATGATTTATGGGAATTTTTCAGCAAATGTCTGAACATCTGTGATACAGAAAAGTCTTTTAGCCAAAAAAAAAAAAAACCAAATGAGATCAGTGAATATAGAAAAGCATTTCAGCACCCTAAAAATTAAGAAATAATACTAACTTGTATCTATTGGTTTTAGTTTTTCTCTGTCAGTAAAATAAGCCGTCATATTAGAAAAACTCGAAGAACACCTCCATCTGGCATTTAGAACCAGAAAGGATTGCTCTATAAACCCCTGCATTAAAATGGTGATGCTGCACAGACTGACAGGAGACATGCAGACGTCCGATCTACGCAGAACATGCCTTATAACATTATTAAGAAGCCATGAGAATACAAAGGAAACATTTTGACCTCATAAGCAGAAGAAAAAAATACCCTGATTAACCTAACATCGTAAGAGAATTACCGAGATAGCTTCTGGACATTTCAAGAGCCCATGCAGGTCAAGATCACTTAGACAGAAAGCTCCTAGAGAACGGGAAATGTGCCTTATTCATCTTCATACTCACAGTGCCTAGCATGTTTTCATTCATTGAAAGGAGTGAGGGAGAAATAAATAGAGGAGGAGGAGGAGGAAGAGAGATGGGAAGAGCAGAGAAAGGTTGCCTGGAAAAATCAGATGTCACTTACAACTGGGAAACTACCACCTGTGCAGTTTTCTAAAAGCAGCAGTTCTAATCGGTTTTCAATTTTTTGTGTGCTTGTTTTTAGGTTTAGCACACCAATACTAATTACAATGTATCTGATCTAGTTATGTTTAAAAAAAGGATGACTCTTTAGTTTTTAAACATACAACTTGAGAAAGCTGATGACAATAGTAAACAGATTGGGCAATAATCTTTAAAACTTATTTAATTCATGCCTCTTGGATAGGTTTCATGAACTACTTATTAAATATTTCACTTCATGGAATGCTGAGCTAAATGCCATAAAAAAGTTACATCTCTGTCTCGTTAGAGCTTAAAATCTAAGGGGAATTTTTAAGGCTATAAGAACATTTGGGAAAGTATTTTAGTGTTACACATGTAAACAGACATATCAGAGAAACAATCTCTTCTATCTACAAATTTATACTGTATTGATCCCTCATGCTCCCTATGTACGGTTCTCACAGGAAATCAATATTAGAATCCCCACTTCACAGATAGATAAAGGGTAACTCAGAATGGCAGGAATGTTTACGGGTAGTCAGAAGAACAGTGAAAGATCCTAGAACTCACCTCCTTACTCTACTGCCTGCCAGCTATTATACCACACTTTCTGATCATCAGCACGTCATCTTCCTCTGCTATATTTTCAAGAACGTGAAAGAACGCTTTGTGATTTTGGCAAAAGGAGTTTCAGGGAAAGGCTACAAGGGAAAAAAAGAATACTTTCGGGCCGGCACCGTGGCTCAATAGGCTAATCCTCCACCTAGTGGCACCAGCACACCGGGTTCTAGTCCCGGTCAGGGCACCGGATTCTGTCCTGGTTACCCCTCTTCCAGGCCAGCTCTCTGCTGTGGCCAGGGAGTGCAGTGGAGGATGGCCCAGGTGCTTGGGCCCTGCACCCCATGGGAGACCAGGAAAAGCACCTGGCTCCTGGCTTCGGATCAGCGCAGTGCGCCAGCTGCAGCGCGCCGGCTGTGGCAGCCATTGGAGGGTGAACCAACGGCAAAAGGAAGACCTTTCTCTCTGTCTCTCTCTCTCACTATCCACTCTGCCTATTACAAAAAAAAAAAAAAAAAAAAAAAAGAGTACTTTAAATGATATTCTTATCCATTACTCTTGTCTTTGAAAATATGGCCAAAGACATCCCTACCTTTTGATTCATTGATGCCATTGGAGATTTCCATTTCCAAAGAAAGGAACAGGTTCCCTTTGGCAATTTCAACAGCAAAGAAAGGAAACTGTAAAATCTCCACTACATCTTTCAAAAAAAATGACTGTGTACCCACTGTGCGCATGATAACTAAGAAGGATGTAAAGCTTCTAAAAGGCAAGCACGGTCTCCAACCTCAAGACATTCATAATTCCTTTGAGGAGATGAGCCAAATACCTGAAAAAATCAAACAACAATAAAACATTCTCTTAAAAATCCCAAACGACAGAAATAGTCATTAGTGTATGACAGACTGTTGTCTCAGAAAGAAGCGGGATCAAGGGTGATTTTTAAATGCTATGTGGAAATTAGGTTAGGAGAAAAATATCCTATATAGGATTGAAAGGGCCCAGGTCCAGTGAAGGCATAACATTCAAATTGGAGAACAGAGAGAAAATAAAGCTAAACACACAGAGTTAGTTTTTACAAGGCTCAAACACCAAGAAGAAAGGTCTAGAATATATTCTCCAGAGGCTAGATGACAAGATTTGCTATGAGAAATAACCCAATGAAAACAGCTATTTAGTTAAGGTTACTCTTGCAAAGACAAGAATGCTGAAATGGTAATGAGGAAAGACCAAAAGCTAAGTGATCAATAAAGTTCTTTTACTACTTTAACCACCCATAAAAGTTTAAGATCAGAGAAAGGAACAAAGAAGATCAAGAAATAAATCATCAATAAAAAAAAATCTTTATTTCTTACATGTAGCATTTAAATGGGGTAGAATCCTACAGATCTGTTTCTTTCTTCAAATGGCAAAAAGAAACTAATCCACAGAATTCTAAGAATAGAAAGGGATTTTAGAGACCAGATCCAACAATTTTCTTTTTTTCTTCAGATGAGAAAAATGAGAAGCAGCAAAACCAAGCAATCTTAGGATGGCAAAGAAGTAAAAGATAAGAGGGTATTAAATCTTATGAAATAATGCACCATTGTTAGGGAAATTTCTATCTCTTTTAACAAAGAGGAGAATAAATTTTTAGACAATATGGCTGACTTTCTCAATGAGAAAAGTTAAGATTTTCACTTACATTTATTAGCCACTATTAGCAGAAGATACATAGAGAAGCAAGAAGTAGCTGTGTCTGTCTATAAGCCAAGGTCAAGAGAGCAAGAATATATGATGGTCCAACAACTTTCAAAGCCAGAAAAGGCAAGGATGAAGGGTCTTCAACAAGTTCACAGATATGCATATGATGTAAAAACTACATATAGATTTCAAAACACAATTTAGCACCGAAATAAAATTATCTTGTATTTGCACTTTTTCATGAACTTTTTGAAATGCCCCGGTAGATTTCACTCAACTGGTTAAGCCCACGGCAGGTACCTCTGTTAATCCCACACTGTCTCACAACTCCCCTGATACAGGCACCTCTTTTTTTCTAAGATTTATTTATTTATTTGAAAGGCACAGTCACAGAGAGAGGAAGGGAGAGACCCAGAGAAGAGAGAGAGAGAGAGAATCTTCCATTTACTGGTTCACTCCCCAAACGGCCACAACAGTCAGGGCTGGGCCTGGCCAAAGCCAGGAACCAGGAACTTCTTCCAGGTCTCCCATCTGGGTGCAGGGGCCTAAGCAGCTGGGTCATCCTCCACTTTTTCCCCAGGTGCATTAGAACGGAGCTGGATAAGAAATGGAGCAGCCAGGACTCAAACTGGCGCCCATATGGGATGCCGACACTGCAGGTCATGGCTTAACCCACTGCATTGCAGTGCAGGCCCCAAATACAGGCACTCTTTACAGCCCCTGTCTGTGGGCTGGAGTTAGCAAACTAGTGAAAACTATTTACTATTCCTGCTCCATATTCTCGTTAACAGGGTAAGTGAAGCTTACCTTTGTTTCTATTTTGAAAATTTCCTTTATGGCTGTGGTTTAGGCTGCCCACAATCATTGCCCCTTGGTACTATTGTTGGTTCTCAGTGATCCCTCTCTCTGTTCTTACTAATCTGTTGGTGCAAAACTTCTCAAACTTTAATGCATATGCACATCACTTGAGGATCTAATTAAAATGAAGATCTGGCAGGTTGGGAGTCTGCATTTCCAACAAGCTGCCAGGTGATACTGATGCAGCTGACTCTCCAACCACATTTGGAGTAAGGTGAGCTACTTCTCACATAACCTGACAGAGGGATACCTTTTAGGGGAAAAAAATAAGTCACCAAGGGCAAAAGGAAAGCATTACAAAAGACTATCAAGGATGCATGCTCCAAAACCTCCCATCTAACTACACAACTCCTGAGCTTGGCTTCATCCACGGATTTCTGTCTTTGTAAAGATTTTCACAGGCAACTTACCAACCCTAATACCTGGTCTCCCAAGCCTCATGTAGACCATGTTTCTCACCTGACACTTAACTTCAGCCCTATTACTGATTTATAGAGTCCCCCGAGGGTGACACCATCCAAGTTTAACTACTTTTCCTAAAGAAGAATGGAAAAATATCAACTAATAAGACCAGCAAACAAAAGGCACAACAGAAAAA